CCCCAAAACCCCAAAACCCCAAAACCCCAAAACCCCAAAACCCCAAAACCCCGGAAGTCCCCTTTTTAACAGTAAACCGTATTTTATAAACATTAAACATGAATTTGAGATGCAAAAATGACTGTCAGCAATTTACTACATTCCTCCTGAAGGTAAGCCACCATTCAAGTCGTTAAGGAGACCTTCAGGCAAGCAGAGTAAATACTTCAGTTGATTTTACCAGAGTTAATTTATCAGAAGGAAACTATGTAGGGTCAAGTAATTTTTCGAATTTTTAGTTAATCTATTGGATTTCTCTTAAATAATATTTCCTGTTTTAATGAGCTAATTAAACTTTTGAGTCTTCTCTAGTATCCAATTGTTGTTCTAGAAGCCTCTTTGTAGCATAGGGATGACTTATTATTCCTTATCTATGCAGAATATGTTCTTATTCCTTCACCATCTATAATCTGCATTATTTATAAATCTCTCCTTCTACACATTCTCTTAATTTCCTATACCATAATTTAATCTGGCTCTAAGATAACATATTCCAAACTTCTAATCTTCTACCAGAAGGTTCTTAGGACCGGTAATTATCTTGAGAGTTCTTCTGTAGGTTGGCTTATTGCCAAACCCTTTCTCTAAAAGCTGAAGGCTTGTACTTTTCTCACAGCTAAAAATTCTCATAAAAAATCCAATCCATTGCTAAGCAGTCTTGATGGACTTTCAGGTTAAATTTCTGAGGAAGGAGCATGCTCTTTGGCTAAATGAGAATAAGAGTAATTTTACCCTGGTTTAAAAATTCTTAGCTCACCATTTTTAAGCTAGAGATAGTTTTATAGGGTAGCATAAATATGAGAGAGCGCTTCTATCTTATCACATTAGACATGGGCTTTTTTGAGCCAGCCAAGGCTGTATTTGGGTGGGTATTTTGTTAAGAGATGAAGAGAATCTCTCTTTTCTGAACATGAGCCAGGATACCTTCCTTAGCCGAATGTCATTTTAACAGGAATAAATTAGTAGGAGGAAGGATTAACTGTTCTAGAATAGTATTAATTGTGTTATTTTGCCGTTTTGTAAATTCCAAGAAACAGTTTAGTCATTTTTTTGCCTTATTTCAGATTGCTAAAGAGCCATTCATTTAAGTATTGGTATAAATTATGACTACATTTTAGAAAGCCTCCAAGAGATTCTTTGAAATTCTTGAGAAAGAATATAAGAAGGAGCTTGACTAGTTTCAAAATTTATCATCGAGATTTAACGTCAATAATCTACCTATTTATGAATTTTATTTGTTTGATTCATTTTTAAATAAAACAATCTTAGTAAAAACGCTTAAATTTACCTTAAAATCTCAAATGAGACCCTCCTTCAGCATAAAGTCATCTACACCTCTACCTATTTTCATCCACCACTGTTAGTCTTTAAGTCCGAAGTCCAAAATTTCGCCCCAAAATTTGTCAGTTTAAACCCTGTTTAGTGCCTGCCAGACCTGTGTTTGGATAACTACCTTGAGTTTTGCAGTCTCTTAGATTTTTAGAACTGAATGCTTAATAAGCTGTTTCGCTTGAGATGCAAGTTTTAGACTGAACGGCTGGAAGGACTGTTTTGGGGGGATTTTAGGATTGGGTTTTGGGGGTTGGGAAGGGAGGATAAAGTTTGGTTTGGATGAATATGTTGGGGAAGCTAAATTTTGTTAAGAATTGCATTTTTTTAGGTATTTTAAATATTTTTAAACTATGATAAAGTGTTATGAATTTGGAATTAATGACACAATAAAAATGTAGACTATTTCTCGTGCAACAATATTTAAAGAAAATTGTTATAGTAGAAAGTTGATCTTAATTAAAAATAGTATTTAGTATGTTCTTTGTAGAACTCTAAACATAATTTGATCAACAATTAAGTGTCCTAAAACTCATTTTAATGCTAATGCATTTCTTAGGCCGAATTTACAATTCTTTATCTATTATATACGTTTTTCTTGCTAATATATAATAATTTTTACTTACTGTTAATAATCCTCATTTCATTTTAATCAATTGTACTCTTCCTTACAGGGGTTTTGGGGTTTTGGGGTTTTGGGGTTTTGGGGTTTTGGGGTTTTGGGG